TGAAAATCTCACATTATGTCTGATGAAGGAAATTTCTCGAAGGACGGATAATGAAGAGAGCTGGAAGATCTGGGGCAATTTTTTTGAGGTGTATGTCATGAAATGAAGAGAGAATTTACCCTGAAAAATCTAGTCCTCCTGTGATGAAGAAAAGTAAAACATGGCCAGTTGTGCTCTGGCTGCTGTCAAGGTCACAAGGAAGGTTGAGGAGGCAGAGTGGATGGCTTCAACAAACAGAAGTTTATTCTCTCACAGTCTAATAGGCTAGAAGTCCGAATTCAGGTCGTCAGCTCCAGGGGAAGGTTCTCTCTCTGTCAGCTATGCAGGGAGATCCTTGTTATCGGTCCTTCCCTGGTCTAGGAGCTTCTCTGCGCAGGAACTTCAGGTCCAAAGGACGCACTCTGCTCCAGTTGGTGCTTTCTTGGTTATGTGAGGCTCGCATATGTCTCTGCTTGCTTCTCTCTTTTATTTCTCAAAAGAGATTGACTTAAGACACAACCTGATCTTGTAGATTGAGCCCTGCCTTATTAACATAATGGTTGCTAATCCCACCTCATTAACATCATAGACAACAGCTTATTTACAACACATAGGAAAATCACATCAGATGACAAAATGTTGAACAATTACACAATACTGGGAATGATGTACTAGCCAAGTTGACACACATTTTGGGGGGACACAATTCAGGCCATAACAACCAGGTTCTTCCTATTTCTGGGAAATGTTCAACCAAACACAGGTGCCGATGGCACATAACAGGCAGGTGATGAAGTCATGAGAGGTTAACACCTGATCTTCCTAACTGTAGATGTGATGATTCCCTTCATTAACTGAGGGCCCAGTGCTGGCAGGGGCTGGAGCAACTACCCTTCAACCATGACACCTTTAATATGCCAAACACCCTGAGAGGTGGACAGTGTTACCTCTGTTTTCCCACTGAAGACCTTGGAATGTGGAGGAGTTACGGGACTTTTCTAAAGTCAAACACCAGTGAATGGAGTAGCCAGGGCTCTGGCCTTCACTCACCATATTGTCTTTCCATGTTTGATGTGTATACTCCCCTAAATAGCAGGGATACACCAGGATTGGGGGATATGCTGAGGAGAACACTCTATGAGATACCTGCATGGTGTTGACCAGGAACCTTCTGGGACATAGTATTCCTGAAATCTCACAGGCAAATGCGATAAAATCAGAACTTAGAACTTGGAGAAGAAAACACTGGGCTGGGAGGGAACATTGGTGAGTTCCAGAGAGTTTCCAAGTTGGGAATCAGAGCTACTGAGACAAATAGGCTGGAGAGGTCAGGCCATGGACACCTAGATCGGAGGTGTTAAGCAGAGATTGGAGGATAAGAACTTGACAAATCTGAGGAAAGAGCAGAGATGCGCTCTCCGCTTATTCTCATCTCTTCATCTTAATATTTTAACCAACAGACTCTTAATTGCCGAGGTCTCTATCCAGTTCCCAATTAGGAACTTCCCAGAACCCGAAACAGCTCTCAGGCACCAAATGCCACAATACAGGAAGACCCACTGCTCTGAACATGCAATCTACGCAAGTGCCAGAGCAGAAGGATGCTGATGCCTCAGCCCTTCTCAGTCCTTCCTACTCTGCTCACATCTAGCCCTGCACACTCCAGGCAATCCAGGTCTGCCTTAAACCTCATCACATCTCCACTTTTCCTGGGCTTTATTCTTGTTGTGTAAGGTAGGTTTCCTCTTGTTTTTAAGGAACTATTTTACATGTAAGTATAAGGCCAAATCTCCATCGATTTAACCCTAGAATTTCAGTCATCAGTTGTGAAGGAAAGGGAAGGGTACTTGTAGGATGCTTCTTGGAAGGTCCCGTAGTCACCGGAGGTCAGTTCCCTTCACCACAGCAGGATGGACCTTCCCAGTCAGACTGGATGAGAATCTTTCCTGCACAGAAATAAGGCAAAGTGACTTCCTATCCTCCCTGCCTGCTTTCATAGCTTATATACACTCTATTAAAAGGACTTTTCATAAATATATATTCAGCATATTCCATCTCCTTTTGTCCTCAGCAGGATTCAGAAATAGCAGACTACCATTGCTAATTTAATACTCTTCCTAAAAATTATTGGTGCCATTTTCCAGAGTGAATGCAGAGAAACAGATAGCCATGTCCCCAAGTAGCCAAGCCTTGATCCTGTCAGGTGAAATCAACCACCCAGGAAAAGCCCTGGGTGTGCTGAGGATTATTGAAGATCTGTTGTCCGACATCTTTCTAGGAAACAGAAAACAAGCACCTTAGAGAAAAGTGCAGTCTCCAGGCTCAATTATAGAAACATTAGTTAACGGCCAAGTAGGTTGAAAGGCTGAAATGCAAATTTCATTAATAGATTTTTAAGAGATAGAGATACTGATAGGATACCCACAGAAAGCTCCCCAAACCAAGCCAGGGTTTGTGAAAATAGATAATCAAAGTGATCACTGGTTATATATCAGTAACCTGTGACATGGTGTCACGGATTGAATTATGTCACCCCAAAAATGTGCGTGTCAACTTGGCTAGGTCATGATTCCCAGTACTGTATGATAGCCTACCATTTTGTCATCTCATGTGATTTCCCTATATGTTGTAAATGCTATCACTATGATGTAATAAGATGGATTAGCGGCAGTTACGCTGAGGAGGTCTACAAGATTAGGTAGTGTCTTAAGCCAATCTCTTTTGAGATACAAAAGAGAGAAGTGAGCAGAGAGACATGGGGACCTCATACCACCAAGAAAGCAGTGCCGGGAGCAGAGCGCATCCTTTGGACCTGAAGTTCCTGTGCTGAGATGCTCCCAGACCAAGGGAAGACTGATGCATCACAAGGACCTTCCTCCAGAGCCGACAGAGAAAGCCTTCCCCTGTGCTGATGCCCTGAATTTGGACTTGTAACCTACTAGACTATGAGAGAATAAACTTCTTTTGTTAAAGCCCTCCACTTGTGGTATTTCTGTTAGAGCAGTACTGGATAACCAAAACACAGGGCAAAGCCAGACTGTCCCCAAGAGCATTCTGAGGACATCAGTTAAAGCTGGAGAAAGAACTAGATCAGTCACATGTGGATCTGGAAAACGGGAGACACCTGTGTCTTTTTCTTCTCACAGCACCAAAATCCATCCAGTAGCAGAGGTGAAAAAGAAGGAAAAAGCAACGAGAATTTCTTCCAAGAAAACTATCTTTACTCCCAATTTGCAGAGAACTGTTCTGTAAAGTAAAGCTACTGTTCTTCATTTCCCACCGTGGAGGTCCATGTCCACCCTGCCCAGTCTTTGGCCTCCCTCTCTGTCATATCTGTACAACAGCCAAGAAATACCACTGGGATAGGGGAGGAGCATTAGCCTAATGAGTATGGGGAATAATAATCCAAGTCTACTGAGGGACCCCCAACTTTTAATAGAGTCTGACACATTCAGGAAGAGGAGAGTTTGCTCCCGGCTGAAATGCCACTTCTTCCTTTTCCCATGAGTGGAAGGGTTACACTTTCTTTTTACAGGTAGTGAGGGTTGGACCTCACCCACAGCCAAGGGTTGCCTCCTAGACAATCCAAGGTCAGCCCCTGAGTAGGGCCTCTTGACAGCAAGTGATAGGGCTCTAACTTGAGCTGGGATCTTACACTTGGCACCTGTATATCCAGGTTGGCTAAGACTCACTGTCTCAGAGATAGAGGCTGGGATGCTGGCCAGGTGCCCCGAACTCCATGGTGCAGAACGCCAGAGGCAGGCAGAGGACTCTTGGAGACACCCCAGGGCAGTAGGCTTTGTTGAGATGCCAAGAGGAAGGCAAGGCTGGGAAGTTCCTCCTCTTCTTCCTCTTCTTCATTGGACTCTTCTCCTTTCCCAGGTGTTTCACTAATAGGAGAGGTTTCTAAGAGCATTAAGGCTTCTGTGGTTCCCAATTTTAGGGAAGTGTGACTAGGACCCTGTTGAGGAGAAGTTGATAGTTCAGACTTAGGTTTCTGTGACTTTGGACTCCACGTAAAGAGAGCAAGTTCTTTTGACTTGGACAGTTTATTGTCTCCTGTACCATCTTTTGGCAGGTCATGTGCATTCAACTTTTTGTGTTCATTTTCTCACTGATCCCTAGTGGGAGGCCATGGATATCTGTGCTCCCTGCGCCTTCACTGGTCCCCGATTCTGTACAGAGTGACTCCATGGGTGGCACACCAGAAGTTGGGGATGCCGCCACACCCACTTTTCCTTTCATTTCCAGCAGTCACTTCTCTAGCAGCTGCAAGGAAGGAAAATGAATAATTACTGATTCTGCACAGGTTGTGAGAACACGTGGCTGAGCAGGTGGTAGAGACCATGGTATTGGGGCAGAATTCAGGGAAGTCAGTCACATGAGTGTGTAACCAGTACTGCAGCTCTACCTGTCCATCCTGTTGTGTGGTTTTCCCACCAAGATTCCTTACTGCTCCTTTCAGCCACTGCATTGTCTCCTACCTCCTTGTTCTGTACCTGCTGCCACACCTGGAGCTGTCCTTCCCCAGAAGCCCTGCCAGCCAAGGCACTGTTGGGTTAGATGAAATGCTGTGGGTTTCATGTTATGATTCTCCCTTCCTTCTCTGGTTTACCTGGGTAGGAGAGAGTCCTTCCACTTGCTCCAGCTCCTGCCTTAATGACATGGGATCTACCTCTGATTCTGGTGATAGTAACATTTCCAGGAATTGTGGGTGAATAACTGCTTTCACCTGATAAGGGAAAGAGGAGACATGTGAACATCCTTGACAAGGAGTAACCAGTGCTTTAGGGGATCTAGAAGACAATCAATAATCTCCCTCTCGAATTTGCATCCAGTGTTGTGTTAAAACATCACAACACCAACTTACACCTAGGCAGACACACACACACACTCTCGAGAAAAGGACAACACACATGGTTCAGAGGATAAGGAATCAAGCTTAATTTTAACATCTGTGGCCAAACTCCAGATATTTGGTTACTGGCATGCCAAAAGTACAGAAGCCACAGACACCAAACCTCAAGTCCCAGCCCACCTTTGTAATAAATTCTTCCTGTGAACACAGCTTGTCCAGGTAGGGCAGGATTCCTGGGTCTGGGTATATCCCAATCTCCTCCTGCTGTTGCTCATTTTCTTCTTCCCCATATTTTCCATCTGGCTCCCAGTGGCTGAATGGGCAGATCCAAGGATACCTTCCATAATTTCAGTATACTCTTTTCACGGCTTTAGGAGGGATCTCATTTAGTCGATTGGGCTCCCAAGGGCACGGGGGTCTGTGTTGATGCTGGTTTGGGGTCTGTGCCTTGGGACCTCCCTTTTATGGAATGAACACTATAGGAGGGTTGAAAAGAAGGAGGTGAATGTAGCAGCAAATTCCAGCTCTTTCTACCTTTTATGGTTTGAATTGTGTTCCCACAAAATGTGTGTTATCTTGGCTAGACCATGACTCCTAGTATTGTGTGGCTGTCCACCATTTAGAGATCTGAGGTGATTATATTGTGTTGTAAATTGTAACCTCTATAATGTTAATGAGGCAGGATTAGAGGCAGTTGTGTTACTGAGGCAGGACTCAATCTAGAGGATTTGGTTGTATCTTGAGTAAATCTCTTTTGAGGTATAAAAGACAAAAGCCAGCACAGAAAAGAGAAATTTTATGCCACTAAGAAAGAAGTGCCCAGAGTGGAGTCCATCCATTGGACTGGAGGCCCTTGTGCTGAGAAGCTCCTAGCCCAGGGGAAGGCTGATGAAAAGGACTTTCCCCCAGAATCAGCAGAGAGACAAAGCCCTCCCCGGGAGCTGGTGCCCTGAATTCGGACTTCTAGCCTGCTAGACTGTGAGAGAATAAATTTCTGTTTGTTAAAGCCATCCACTTGTGGTATTTCTGTTATAGCAAGCACATGTTGTAAGGGCAGAATTTTGGAGACATTGAAATGGTTCCTGGTGGGGCAGGTACACCTGAAGCCACAAGAACTGTGACAGGAGAAGATGTAAGAAGTAGAAGGTCCAAGAGAGTCATACTGTGAGGAAACTTGGAACTATTGCTTTTTCAAGAAGTCCTCTCATTGAGACCCATGTTTTAGGCTGATTAGATATTGGAATCCACATTTGATAATATGTGAGACAGTAGTTATAAAAGTTGACAATTTCAGGACTAGTGTGTAATGAAGTGTAGCTGAGACCCCAGGCTTCTGGCAGGCTCTGCTGATAGGAATAGCCATTGCCTCCTCTTGAAAGTACCACATGCAAAGACAATACCTTCTCCAAACATGGCCTGTCTACATACCTCCTTTGACCTTAGCTTCTGTTGAACTCGATTAGCCATACCTGGGTAGTGGACAACCACAGTGGATGAAGGCCCGTGGGAATCAAGATTCCGTGGAGGTGGAGGAGGCAGGCACACAGACACATTCCTCTGCTGCAACTTCTGAATTTGTAACTCCTCCTCTGCCTCAAACTCCATGAACCTGACAAAGGTGAGGGAGGCACAGCCCATGCTGAGAAGAAGGCAAGATGCACCAGGAGCCCCAGCACCAGGCAACAGCCGTTTGTGGGGCATTGGAGAAAAATATGCCTTCAGTGACCTGTAGGGTGCTCAGTAAATCCATTTCCCAGGAGGGATTTGCTGTCTGTGGCGCAAGAAAGGTTTGAGGGCCCCTTATATGTCCACCACATCATCCCTTCACCTGCAGCACAATTCATCGTAACTTAGGCAGATGTAAAGGAAATCAGCTTTGGCTTCTTGGAAACTCTTCCTGACAGAGCCGTAGTGCTCACTTCTTTTCCACACCCTTAGCACGTGATGGCACACCACAACGCTGACACTGGCTTGTTGATTTAATCAGACCTATGTGACACACAGCAGGACCCCACTCATGGACACCCTACTCCAAGCTTCTCCTGCCCGTGCCTAAAACACACACGGTAGGGTTGACATCCTTAACCAGGGACAGAATGAAGTTGATTGCAGATAACTCCAGGGACTAGATCCTAGATCCCTGTTTCTAGTCTCAGGCTTTGAGCCCTTGAGCTATAAACCAGTGAGACAATTAGTCTAAGAGATATTGGGAAAAAGGTGGAATCTAAGGTTTCGGGAAAGTTTCTGACTCCTTTGATGATTGTTTTTAAACCAAGGGAGGAAAGGCAGTGAGGGTCATAGACATGTCCAGAGGGTTACTTGAGATGCTGCCTTCCCCTGAGCAAAGCTTTTCAGTCTGGGCCATTTTTGGATGGTTGTAGAATAATTTTCTGCCAGTTACCATGAGGAAGGGTGGTTTCAAATTCCCTGTCAGCTACCCAGACACTGAAGGAAGCAGGAACTCAGCTGGTATAGCATATTCCCTCAGTGCAGAGTGTCTACAGCTTGAAATTTATCTCCAACGGTAGCCACAGTGTTTATCACCATTTGATCTTAACATTCTCAATATCAAGGCATCCACAATTGCAAGATGTAGAAGGTGAGTATGTCTTGAAGAATGTAGAAGATAAACTCCTAGCAGTGAATGTAGTGGCAGAAATTGTTTGAGGGTAGAGAAGGATCATCAGGGAAGCAGGGGCCCTGTCCAAGTGCACACCTCCTTCTCACAACTCCCCCCCTCCAACTTGTACCAACACAGCCAGGCAGCAGCCACTCTCAACCCGCTGTCTTCATTCACAGCTCATCACTCATTCCCAACAGGGCCAGGATGCCATGAACTTACTTTCCTGCCATCTCGTAGAAGATCATCTGATCAAAGTTGCTTTTGCGCTGCCATTCCTGCACGAACCACCACATTCCCTCCTCCAGGGTCATGGTAGGCTTCAGTGGGGCCAGGGATCACAGGACTGGGCTGAAACCCCATGCATGTCAGTAACTTTCTACAAGTACATATTCCATCCCCATCTTGACCCCACCGCTACACACATACCCTGCCCATCATCACATCTATCTTGCTATTTGTCCATGTCAAATCCCTCTTCCAGTTTTTTTAGATTTCAAGTGCTTTTGTCTCCAGGATACCACTCACAGAGCATGAAAACTACTAAGATGCACGCCTGAGAGATATAGACTAAAGAAAACCATGTGTTTTGAGTCTTCAGTAGGATTGTGGACAGAATGACCTGTCAGACCATCTGAAATCCAGAGTCTATGATCAAGTCCAAGTGTCCCATGAATGAACATTTTCACCAGCTTCCAGATGACTCTTGAGTGGAGGTCTGAACTTTGGTGAATACAGCCCTAGAGTCTCAGAATGTGAAGAGCAAGAGTTCTGCCCAAAAGCAAATGTTAGGGCAGCCCATGGTAACTGAGAGAGACCTGTGTTATCTGGAGTTTCCAAAATCATGCTGCTGAACTGCATTTGAGACTGTGATTAAACAGGGAACACAGCTGTTTGGGAATGCAGGGAATCCCTAAGACTGCTTGAAAGTTGAATTTGATGGACTCTCTCTTTATTTCCAGGGAAGTAAGGGAAGGGAAGAAGATTCCTTCAGTCTTTTAGCCAACGGGGAGCAGCATGTATATGGAAAAAACATCCTGTGGAATGTGATAAGAGTTCAATATTGGCTGACCCATAACACCTGTGGAGAAGCGCAGGGTTGAGAGAGATGTAGGGTCTGCTGTGAAAAGACAAAGCTTCCCACATGACTAATCCCTCTGCCTTCCGTTCACTGATGCCCATGACCCTGGACTTCATGGCCAATTTCCACTGACACCCACTGTAGCTAGGACATTTTCACTTTTGTGGGTACTTTTCTTGGACTATATTGTCTTTCCTTCATGACAGTGACAATAATGGACATCATTTAATGAGGCATAGCGTGTGTCAGGCGTTCTCTGAGCACTTCTTATATTAGGTCGTGTCATCTTCTTAGCTATCCTCTGAATTAATTGTCATTGTCTCCTTATTTGATGAGATACTCAAGGGTGAAGATGTACAACGCCCTACTCAGGATTACAAATCTAGTGAGGGCAGAGCCCAAGCCCTTCACCACTATGCGTATTCTACCACCTCCCTGTTCTAACTGGAATTCTCCAGAGGAATGAGAGTGGGAGTATATTTAAAATGGTTGTCCTAGGCCTTGCCCTTTTTCCCATTCCTCTGGATTTGATATGGCACTGACCAACACATGGTCAACTGCTGTGTTGGAAGATAAAGACCAACGGAAGAACATGGTGTTTGTAGTGTGAGACCATAATTCACATCATGGCTCCACACTTCACCATAGTGTTTAGTCTCCTGTACATAATTATTAAGGTAATGATTCCAATATAAAGATTGCTTCACATACAAGGTGGGCAGCATCAGTTGAGATAAGACACCTCAAAGTGTCATACATGAGGATGTGTGGTTAATATTATTGAGAGTGTGTCTTCTTATAACATACCCCATTGCCCTCATGACCTTCTTTGAAGTGTTCCTAAAGAGCCTAACCTTCATTGTGTCTCCACAAGATCTCTTTATTTGAAAGCTGCAGGATAATCTCAGGTGTCCCCACTGACTAGGACATTCACATGAGAAAGCAGGAAAGAGCTTCTGTATCGGGAATTTGAGGATGGATCCTCCGGGCCAGGAACTTGAAGCATTGCCAGTGTCAGTATTCTTGTAAACACTCTTGGGGGTACAGGAGGAGTCATCCAGCAACGACTTGGATTGTGTGGTGGCCAGGCTTTCCTCTCCAGAAGAAGCATGTTGGCCTGACCAAGCCTTCACTTGGGGGAAAATGGAGGCCAGCCTTACTCATGGTCCTCTTTCCTGGAAAGCCCCACTGCATCAAAGGAAGACCAGCAGGCTAATTCCATGAGCAGAAGTGGGTTCCTGTTGCTTCTCAGACTGTTATGTTGTACATTCATATTTTTTTTATTTCTGACAATGACTGTAATTCAATAATCAAACAAACATATTTCTGCGTGGTTCAAAAGTCAAACAGTCCAAACAGTTCCAGATGGATTCTACAGTGACAACTCCTCCCCCTGCACCTTTTTCTTGGCAACCAATTTCTCCATCTCATTGGAAGCAGTTGATGTTTTCTGTTTCATTTTCCTCTTTCCAAAAATATTGCCTGTGCCTGAGCGTAACTAACAAGCTATGTTCATTTATCAAAAATACTTTCCACTTCCTTTTTTCTCATTATACAATTAAGGTGTGTTCATATATATACGTGTACATATTTTTTACCATTAAAATTAATGCAGTCTTGTTTCTTTATGTTTTTTTTTTCTTTCTTTCTGGGATCAGTGATCCTATCTGTATTGTTTTTTTAGTCTAGATTCTACAATGAGAACTTTAACATTCTCTTAAACTTCATAGTCACCCCAAGAATAGGTTTGTCAGGTTAAGCAAATAAAATACAGGACTCCAAGGAATCCCCGTGTAATACTGGGGATATAGTTACAACAACACTGCACCACCAGGGCTCCACGATAATATTAGTCCTTGTTTATCAGAAATTGGAAGTTAACAAGTAGACTGTATTTTATCTGGCAAACCTACCAGAGGTTAAAAAAAAAAAAAAATTAAAGCTATTATGACTTTACTCCACCCTCAGAAAAACAGAACTGAATTTGTAGTCAGAAGACCAGACTTGGAATCTTCGTTCCATAAACATAGCACCCAAACCAAACCAGCACACCAGTTTCGAAAAATTGTTGCAGGCCATTTTGATTATGTAGATATTGAATAGTCATTAAACACTCTTGAGCACCAAGGCTTAGTGGGCGTGGGAGCAGATGTAAGGGCAAGGAAGAAGAAAATCTTTTTCTCCGAAGCTAAATGGGCTTCCTATGCTATTGCCCTGGGCTCTTCAGGTGTTAGATAGAGCCCCATGGCCCTGAAATGGGTGGGAATCTTGAGACCAAAACAGGATTCTACTCACCAAAGTCAAATCGCACACACTTGCTCCCATCTAACTCCTAGCTGGCCAGTCTGAGCCATGAAGCCCTACTTGTCAACTTGGGCATCACCTGTCTCCATCACACACCCTTGCTCTTTGGAATCCAGACTCATCAAGGTATGTGCTCATATCTTTGTGGGAGTCATGGCAGTATGTTCATTAAATAAGCTATGTTTGACTTTTTTTCATCATGAACATAATTTTCAGTCTATTAAAATCAAAAGGAGTTAAAACACCACTCATTTTGTTGTTGTTTCAAGAAGAGAGTCTTGGTAGGAAAATTGGTCATGGGAGATGAAGCATGCTGACCCCAAGTGGTTGCAATAAGCAAAGAAAGGTGACAACTTGAATCCTGCTCTCACAGCAGTAGTGTCTTCAGATGGGAGGGTGTAGGGGAAGGAGAGACAGGTTGAGGAGGAGTGTTCCACAGATAGACTTCGTTCAGAAAATTTCCCTGCTGGCTAACATAGTTTCTTGTCACTGGGGAAAATATTTTGACTCAAGAGGGAAATGTTGTAGAAAAATGCAACAGCAGTCGTATTGTAATGGAAAAGCAGAGAATTGGAAGTCAAGAGGAGATGAGATTCTTCTCCCCTCTTTGCTACAATTATGTGAGAAAAACATTTCATAATGTGGTCCTCGTGAATTCTCTCATGATTTCCGTGTTTTATCTGAACTATAAACCTGATAGGACCCGATGAATATTTCTGTTTTCAGCATCCACAGTGTTTGCCCAACCACTGTGAAAAGAATGCCTCCATGCAGCTTCTGCCTGTCTGGAAACTGCCCACACCTTAATCCTCTGCAACAAGCTTCCTGCTTGCGCCTATCTTTGTATTTTCTCTGGCAGTTACAATGTACACGTCTACTTTTGTCTTAGCTTAGATGATGAAATTAGAGAGATTAAAAAAAAAATCACCTCAATATTTTTTAAAGGTACTTATGGTGATTGATAAAAGGAAAATCTTGGTGACTTTTCTTAGAACTTGGGCTTCAATCATGGAGCAACCGTAAATGATTTTCTATCCAGTCCTTCCTATTCCAGGGATGGTGGAGCAAATCATTGCATCTAGGCAGTGGAGAAAACAGCTTGCTCCTTGATTCTTCTGCTTGTCAGTTAATCTATCAGTTTTTTCCCATGATGCACACCGATGGGTTTATGGCCATTGGATTTGACTGAGTGAGCCCAGGGCCAATGATTTAAACATTGCATTGTGGAGAAACAGTCATGTCCAAATTTTGCAATTTGTTTTTCTACTGCATGAAAATCTTCAAACCTGGAAGGCATGTGATTAAATTAGCCCATATGAATTTTACTAAGTCTGGCCATGAAAGCACGAGGTCAAAATTCCTTTGGAGCTGGCTCTCTGACCATCCCTGTGGAAGAGTCTAAGGCAGGCATTGACCACTGATAAAAATCATCTCTGTTCTTGGGTCACAGGACACAGAAGACAGATGATCTTCCACCCAATCTCAGATCATTGGAGGAAATGAGAAGATGTGATGACTGAGGCTTATTCAGCTACCGTGATTTCTGTCTCAGCCTGTACACTTGGAGACTCCGTGTTTTTGACTCTGTAGGGTCATCCAAGGGAATCATCTAAGGCATTGAAAAATAATACAAATCTTGCAATTTCCAGATAAAGGGTAGCTGATTATTGAAATTTTTCAAAAAGAAAAAATACCCTTAAGACCAATACACTGAAGCAATTCTGGTACTGATTTTTTAAGGACTGACTGAAATTATGAATTTATATTATGAAAAAAAGGAATAATTTTGTTCCCACACTGCCTGCTATGTAGACAGGAAGGAAGTAACACTGGCTGGAGAAAAAGTAAACTCAAGTATATATTGAGGACCTTTATTCCTAGCGGATTTGTAGAGCCAGGGGACAGTGAGAGTGTGAAGTAGTGCATGTA